CGTACCGCGCGCGCGCGGCGCCGACCGGTTTGCGCTACCGCCCGCGCCTGCAGCCGCCGTTGTCTGGCTTTTTTCTTCGCACTTCTGCCGCCGCCTGACGGCGCTTCTGTTTCCTCCAGGGTGGCGCTACCGCCACAAGTTGCGCCATTCGTCGTCGTGTCCGTCGCTGTTTTCCTCTTCTCTTCTTTCTGCCGCCCGCTGTTTCGGTGTTTCTTCTCTTGTTCCGTCCTTCCAGCAGCTAAATACGTCACTTTCCTTCGGTACGTCACCAAACCCTCCAAAAAGCCAGCTTACTATCTCACTTACCGAGCGCGAGTACTTTTGCGTAGGATGAGTCACCTGGCGTTGTCCCGAACGTCGCTGCCGGACAGACACAAACACCTGAAATCTTCAGTCATTCACTGTTGCCTTTTAATATACGAGTAAAAATTTCTTTTATATACCAGTTCGTGATTCCTCGGTATCATCTAGGTAATGGTTCTTTCTATCGTTTCACGCTAAATTATTCTAGTAACTAGTAATATGTATCCAAGTTATATTGGTTTTTCAAGAGTAGATTACTAATCCGAAAATTATTGAGCGTTAGTTATGTAATTCTAGATTTTTGCGATTTACTGAGATGATAAGTCAAGCTGTTTTTATCATTACCGTAGTTTATAGCTCGGATGTTACTCGGGCAATCATTATGTTCTTCTTCTTGCGTATTACGATTTGCCTTAGAACTAGTTGACCGTTAGTGCAATCTAGTATTAGCATGGTAACCTCGTCGGTATTGTCTCTATCCATAGCTTATTGCCCTTTGATGGATTCATTGGAGAATGCAATTAATGATGGTACTAGTTGTTATAGTTAGGGGAGTAATTTCTTCGAGAATGTGGTGCATCACGTTTTCAAACCTGCTGATTTTTTCAAATTCAGTGAAATTTTATTATACTCAAACGTTAAAACGAGTGGTGATATTTCGTCATTTGCATATTTTTGTGTACGTATTCAGATAATACAGAATGAAAATACACCGTACTAGAACATGTTCGTCATGTCGCAAGAAGAGAACAAAATCTGCATAGTATTCAGTTTTTTGAACAGTACCAGCCGGTAGCACTGTCAGTTTTTCTTCTACCGTATTTGCGTGTGTTGGTACGTGATAGTACAACATTGTGCGTTCTGCTGTGTTGGACCCTAATACTTCAGGCAGAAGTTGCATTTCCTGTTCGTTCCTTATGGTCGCCACTTCTCTGTTATGATGTTAATTTATTCGTGTTCGTTTCTATGTAAAGGCTTTTGCCCCATCGCGATATGTTGCATTTGCTCTTTACTAGTATTGCCACCGACGTCACTCTGGATTCATTCAGATGAATTAGAACTCCCCTCTCGACGATCTTCGCTCTTGTTCACGGCGTGGGAGTCACGCTCTTTTTCACTGTTGATGCTGTATGTTGGTAAAGTATGTGAGATGCCAAAGTTACTTTCATATTTCATAACTCGAGCCTCTCATAGTTTATTTTCACATGGCTTTTCATTAACAGCAGTTCATATATCCGTCTTCCATGGGCCCACTTTCTGAAGTATTTGTTAGTTTGCTTTTGTCTGCGATCGTTGCGCAGTTAATTCTTACTAATTTCTTTGTAATCGCGAAATCTGTTTATCCTTGCATTAGATTTATTTGAAGATTAAAATATCTGGTAGTTAGAAAAGCAGAGGTTTTATTTTATTCGTAGCTTCATTTATTTTTATATCTGATTCAAGGAGACTGTTGACATCCAGGTCCAGGCCCCACTTATTCGTTTCTGTGTCAGTTCTGGTTATAAATCGAACAAAATTATTATGTGTTAATATTAATCATAAATTAAGTTACTTTGCCGCGTAAGTCACAGTGGTTATTGTTTTTTGAAGATGTATACGCGATGTATTTGAACCTCAGTTCATTAAAACTGAAAGTCAGTAAATAATAATTGACAGAGAAGCCATCGTAAAGGTATTAAAATTTTATTGCGATATTTGTTACACTTTTCAGACAGATTTAGGAAAATACAGTGCTTTTCGATCTGCAACAGTAGATGATGATGTAGTTTTCGTATCTTGGCATTAGTCGATTAGCATTCAATAGCTTACCATAACGAATGCGCACAAAGGCAATAGCACACAAGCCGAGTTAATGGTTGCGATTGAGTAGCAGGTGTAAAGAGAGCAAAGGCGGCTGTCCGCCTGCTAGCTTTGTACAGGTGGATAGTGACGGTTTCATGGCTGGAAACGCTGACGCAAAAGAACCGGCGACTACCTGTAATTCGTAAGCTTCGGTGGCTGTGTTACCGTTGAACGTCAAGTTCTACGAATAGGGTCAGGGTTGTAGGTGACCTCGTCCTGTGTAAGACGATAAGGAAGTTATTATCTGTTGTGATACCCAGCGAATGTGACTGTCATTTTTAGCTGGTGCTCGTGGCCGGTCGAACGGCGACAACGAATGTTTACCGACTTGAAAAGCACACACGTATGTCAGTAGAACAGCAACAACGGTGACTTGGTGTTTCTCTGCCTGTGCACAACCGGTCGGCGCACGTCAGCAACGAACTGGCGATCGCGCCACGCCGTGTCGTCGTCCGTCGCCTTACCCGTCTGTACTCTGCACAGTCATTCGAACAGTTATTCGACAGCTCTTCGCTTGCCATACTTCATTTACGTTAACCCTCTAACCACTTCATCCTTTCTGTTTCTTTCAGATTATGCTGCGCCCTTTTGTTTTAGCCATATTTCTCGAAAAAAGACATTTTCTTCATTAGGAAAGCCAATCGTTCAGCAGCGTAGCTGTCGTTTGGCTACGCTGTTTCGAATCTGATTACCGTACCGTCAATGATTGGACGTCCGCCAGTCAGCGCCTGCGATCATCCACCAACCGCCAATCAGTTGGCAGTCGGTCGATTGCGATTTACTTACCTGACGAGGCTGTTCACATCGCTTCCACATCTCCTCCTACAAGAAGGCATGACCGGTTCTCAGATCCAGCGACGTCGACGACTAATGAAGCGTTAAACTGGTTTTCGCTTTGATCTTTCAGACAGAAACTAATTCTGAGATCATTGTGAAAGCCAATTTGTAGCTTTGATCCACCTCTGCATCTGGCCACTTGTGGTAAAGATATTTTTCTTTTTGTTTAATACTTTATACGTATTTTCGTGATCTTAATGTTTTATATTTTATGAATTGGACTTGTTGTTTTTGTGTGTATGACTGTTTTTCACTGTTAAATGAAATATGGACAATTGCAAATTGATCCCTTTGTAATAAATAAACTGGCTGATGGAACAGATTCATTTTGTTTGAAAAGTTTTCACCTGGAATGCGATGAAACGTTTAAATAAATTCTTTTGAAAATAACCACAAATCTTCAGTTTCAAAGAATTTTGCAATCATTTTCCAGGGTTCAGCTTCACTGAGAAACCGTGAAAGACTAAACAAGAAACATCAGCGCTGCAGCATGATCACTTAGTTCGTCTAAGAGAGTTTCTGCTCGAAAAAGTATCATTGAGAGTATCTGCAATTTGTATATGCAATAATGGAGGCTAATACGTCGATTCATGACGTCTACATGTTGATACTGGTTTAAAGGAAAATCCTGACGCCGTATACTGCACTGTCTGTAAACTATTCCTGAGTTGCAAGCGCTAACTGTATTTACTGATATGATATCCAAGAACGCCTCAACGCAATACAAAAAGCGCTGACGTGGAACAGTTGGTTTTTGATATGTTCGATTAGCTTGCTTTTCACAAAATGAAGAGAAACCTAAATCATCATGAATTCAGTTCAGGCATTTAGTTTATTAATAAACGCTTAACATCAGCAACGAAATATGGCAAACTAGTGGTTAATAATCAAGTTAAGACTGAAAATTAACCGTGGTTATTATTTACGTCATTATCGATAGCTGCTGTTTTGCATTGTTTGATATGACTGTAAAAACTGATGTATATGCCATTACGATAAAGTAAATTCAAGCTGAAGCAAAATCTGCTGTTCTTCTGAAACTTCGCTGCTTCACTATCTGTTTGGTTCACATTTCATCCATAGTCCAACCAACTGTTCTTAAATTCTCACAAACAAGCATGTTGGAAATATCGTCAAACGTACGCTAGTCTTATATTCCTTTCTAAGCAATGCACAGTTATCAAAGGAGGATTCAGTAAGTCGCTCAGAGTAGGATTAGGGATTTAAATGCACCTCTTTCATACAGTCGACTTGTTAGTTTAGTCAGAACAAAGACTAAGGGTTTTTCTGAACCGTCTTATTAGAAAGATGACAAAAATAAGACATCAAACTACAGAGATTCATTCCAATGCTTCTCAAGTACATGCATCAGCGCTCAAAATTTTACATGTAGACTGATTCAATAATTTACGATTTTTGATTTAAATCATAGGAACATGTAATGGCTCAAATTTCTGATCCTCTTGCATACGTAACGACACAGGCTATGCACCTTTGAAAGAGCAAAGCAGACGGAATAACACCATCGTTCTTGATTAAAGCAAGTATGCTGCAGAGCAATGGCAAGGTTAAACTAGCCGGGCAGTCAAGTGATGGCCAGAGAACGTGGCGTTCAGGTAGCTCTATAGAAGTGTAA